GGTTTTCATTGGCAACATCTTGGGCGATTGTTTCGTCTTCTTCATCATAGATGTCTTTATCCAAAGCAAGAAGACGCTCCTCTTCCTCCACTGAAGGATCTCTGGCGTCGCTTGAATTCTCCTGCTCTGAATCTTCTTTGCTTTTTTGCTTCACAAGAGCAGCTGCTACACTAGAGTCGTAGGAAAAATGAAAAAAACGCATCTGTGTTTTTAGTGGAACAATTTTTCAGAGCCCCCAAGTGTTGGTCTACTGCACCGTAATGTGTCTCGTGGTCGTCTCGCACATGTTTACACCAGACAACGGCCGACAGTCTGAGCATGCGCACATCCAATTTACTTTCCATGTGAGGAATGCAGATAAAAAAACCAAGGTTCGACTATTTCAGTCGGCATACTTGTGATGGTTTGTCTGACTTAAGGGTTTTTTTCGCTGCAAGTTATTGTAAACGCAATAGACGTTTATAATTCTGTCAATATGATATAGCAAGGAAATTACAAGAGAAAACTTGCCGCAAAGGCCGTAAACCGCGAAACTTGTGGCCATAATATACACTTACTAGCTCTTTGGTTTAGGCTCCTGTTTGTCACTGACAAACTTATCGAACTCTTCTTGGGCAGGCAACCAATGCTGCAGTGCATTTTTCACTAGTTCTGGATTAAAAAAAAGAAAAAAATTGAAAACAAATTAATGATGACGAACACATCTACCGTAGCGGTTTGCTAACGAGGTGCAACCACACCCTCTGTTGGCTTCTAGGGTTTGAGTGGGTTATATAAAGTTAACCACTTCGAAGAGTGTTTTCAAAGAAGTCCGTTTCCAGTGGATAATCTGTCTGGTTAAGAACGGACTTTAGGCGTCAACGTAAGAACAACGTTTTTTAATAATGAATCCGTCAAGGTGAAGACGGAACCTTGAATAATATAGTCTTAGTTTTTATGTGGGGAGTTAACAGGCAAATGTACTTTTGTTGGCTAAAAATTAAATTTAGGGTTAAGTACCTAAAAGTCGAGCATTGCTCTTAAGGCCACCTCGATCAGCTCCTTCGGTCACCTTCTTCAGAAAAGTTTTCACTTTTTCTTCTTCATCAACTGGCTCACGTTCGTTGTCCCAAAGAAGGGATCTAATCTGGTCTACCGACGCTTCCTTGTAAAAACAATGGAATTAAAAAGAAACATACTTCTCCATTTCTTTACCGAGCTCAAAACTTATCATCTCTCTTATTTCTATCTACAAACATTACGCTATCGACATTGCTGATCCTAGCAGTATGCAAGACGCGTGTGATATGAATTTCGTAATAGACCTTGCTCACCGTGGAGTCTCTGTGGCTCAGTGTTAGAGCATCGGAGCGCGGAATCCGAAGGTCTGAGGTTCGATTCCTCATGGAGACTCAGAACTTTTTCTTTGTCCCACGCTCGTGACAATACGAAAAAACATATTTCTCTAATGGAATCAAATGTACATCAGATTTGACGATATGCTGAACTATACAAGCCTTTTGAATGGTTCTCTTCGATGATCTATTGCAGAACAGAAGCATATCGGACGTCACAATTAACAACAGGTTGCTTCTTTACTATACAAAACAAATAGATCCCATGTTGCCGTCCTCCCTGATAGCAATAGACCACATAAGACATCAAAATGTGGTGAGAACATAAGTGACACTGCGCCTGGTGCCTTTTTTGCTTTTGTTTTTTTTCGTTCTTACCACATTTAGAGGTCGTCAGTGATTTATTACTAAAAAAACATGCGGCACTGAACATGGAATCCATTCGTTGATTTGATTTGAAGAGTTACACCAAGTGTATCTACATATCTTAACAAATAAACATATAGCTGTAGACTCTGGCCTAATTTTCAAAAGCAGCTGTTTTAAAATCTATGTTATTAACCATTTTGATTTGACGCCAGGTTTTAAAGTCAAGCACTCTTTTTTGAACCTGGACAGTATGATGCTGTTGAGCGAATGTATCCTGCAATATTTTAAAACTAAAAAAGTATATTAATATCACCCAGATAAAGTCAGGTAGTTACATACTTCCAAGAACATCTCCGCATTGAAAATACTGGAAAATATCAACTTCTGGTAGGTACTTCGAACTCGAGGCTGCAGAGCCCAAAGTTTTCCTGTCAGGCTTCTTTTCCGTTCCTGCAATCCCTTAGGCCAATTTCGTCCAACCTAAACAAACAAAAAAACAAATAAATAAATAACCAAAAATGTAAATAAACCATTACAGCGGAGTACTGTTATCCCAAATAGTGTTTTTTTTTTCTGAATATTCCGAACTTTTGTCGCGTACCCGTGTATGGACTTTGGTCGGTGCGTAATTGTAATTTTATCCGAAAACGTACTCCAGATACGCGGGAATATGCGGACCCTCCTCCCTGAAAAGGTGTACAACTAGTCAGATGCCGCAAAACCAACCTGAAGCAGCTAGAGTCAATTTCTTTGCCTCGCGCTTGTAGCTGATCACTTCTACTTGATTAAGATTCTTATTGGTTCATGCAAGTGTTTAGTTTACCGCGATTGACAACCTCGTTTGCTTTCTCACTAAGTGGAAAATCTTTAAAACATCTAACGAACACTATCACAGAATCATTTGTCGATAGTGATTGACAGACAAACCTCTCTTAGCAAGAGTCCCTTCAATTTCTTGTTAGCATTTTCAGGCAAGCCTCCAACACGAACGATCTTCTCATTCGGGGATGAATATTGGGCAAGAGCTTCCAAGAAATTGTTCAAGGCGTGATTCTTATAAGTCACAACCTGTGAACCAGGATATAAAAAAAGGGAATCAGTGTGAAGCCACACAAAAAGAGAGTAAATTAGCTGTCCCTGTTTCTGAGCACTCAGGAATAAATCATGGATTGTTATTATTATTGTAGATCGTTTTAAGCGTGAAGATAACCACAGTAAAAGAAATTTAAGCTGACCTTGTTAACCCCTTCACTACCTAGATCTGATTGTAAATTCCCCCTTTTATATACTACACATTTCCTGGTAAATTAGTTACGAGAATCTGCCGTTAGATCAAGATTACAATCCCATTCCCTAGCAAGTTTGTTTTGCAAAAAAAATAGTTTGTTACGCAGACTACATGTGCTTAACCGTGCACTTATGATAAAGAGGCTATTGGACAACGAGTTATTTTACCAGAATAGGTCCATGGCTTTGGGGCACCTTCATGGACAAAAGAAGGCGCACTATGGCCACACCCACAAATGACTTTCCAGTTCCCGGAGGACCCTGTGGAAGAAAGGAATAGAAAAAAATTTACATATGACCAAATAATTCTATGTGGATATTGGGCGGATATACAATTTAAAGCATTACCTGAATCAGCACAAGCTTGTTTTTTAGTGCCAGTTCCACTGCTGCAAGCTGTGTTGAATCAAGTTTGGATTTGAAGTTGCTGTTTACCCGCATTCCCTCGAGATCTTTTAGAGGTGAGTAAGAAGACTGTTTTTCCTGACCTTTCAGAGACTCCTTATGAAAGATTATCTCCCAATCTGGGGGACTTTTAATATCAGTTAGGTATTCAACTGGCTCAAAGTAGTTTGGTTTTGGGTAAACCAAGAATTCTTTAAATGGAACATGATCTAAAGAAAAAATGGGAAAATAAATATATGTACTTCATCACTCCTTGTGTTTATGACTGACTATCAAATTCTTGTTCCTCAACAATAAGATGGCCAATTGTGAAATTTGAATGTGGTGTAAAGAGTATGTTAGGAACTTTGATGAAAGTGAACAATGTGTGTAAAGCATTGCTGCATTGTCCATTTTAATCCAAATTAAGATCTTGCGCTGATGATAGGAAGACTAGTGAAGAAGTTTTAATGAAGTGTTTCTTGGCCAGTCATCTCTTAGAAAGAAAAAAATGTGAGAACCATTTAATTATGTAATAGCTATTTTTCTGGGAATCATATATAGTTCTTCCTTCACAGAAAAATCAATTACATAAAAATATATGCTTAGACAATAAAACACAAAAAAATTCATGTCTGACCAGGATGACCTATGAATGCCCTACAAAA